CTGAGAACACTTGTGATGAAAAACTCTATTAAATTGAGCTTGCAAGTAGAAGACGGCAGATACAAACTCTTCCCTGAGGGCGCTCCACATGATAGTACGCACTGTCAAGCACTCTTCAAATATGGCGGAATCATGCTGGGTCCAGAGAGAACTGATTAGTCATCACGTTAGTGATCTGAGGATATTCTGGTCTGAGGATATTCTAGTCTGTTTCCAATCTAATTATTATTGTCTGGTTATTCGAAAAGCTTTGGATACAATCGTCTGCGCCATTCGCTGTTGCCAAAGAGCAAAGGCCCACAACCACTGAGAACACTTGTGATGAAAAACTCTATTAAATTGAGCTTGCAAGTAGAAGACGGCAGATACAAACTCTTCCCTGAGGGCGCTCCACATGATAGTACGCACTGTCAAGCACTCTTCAAATATGGCGGAATCATGCTGGGTCCAGAGAGAACTGATTAGTCATCACGTTAGTGATCTGAGGATATTCTGGTCTGAGGATATTCTAGTCTGTTTCCAATCTAATTATTATTGTCTGGTTATTCGAAAAGCTTTGGATACAATCGTCTGCGCCATTCGCTGTTGCCAAAGAGCAAAGGCCCACAACCACTGAGAACACTTGTGATGAAAAACTCTATTAAATTGAGCTTGCAAGTAGAAGACGGCAGATACAAACTCTTCCCTGAGGGCGCTCCACATGATAGTACGCACTGTCAAGCACTCTTCAAATATGGCGGAATCATGCTGGGTCCAGAGAGAACTGATTAGTCATCACGTTAGTGATCTGAGGATATTCTGGTCTGAGGATATTCTAGTCTGTTTCCAATCTAATTATTATTGTCTGGTTATTCGAAAAGCTTTGGATACAATCGTCTGCGCCATTCGCTGTTGCCAAAGAGCAAAGGCCCACAACCACTGAGAACACTTGTGATGAAAAACTCTATTAAATTGAGCTTGCAAGTAGAAGACGGCAGATACAAACTCTTCCCTGAGGGCGCTCCACATGATAGTACGCACTGTCAAGCACTCTTCAAATATGGCGGAATCATGCTGGGTCCAGAGAGAACTGATTAGTCATCACGTTAGTGATCTGAGGATATTCTGGTCTGAGGATATTCTAGTCTGTTTCCAATCTAATTATTATTGTCTGGTTATTCGAAAAGCTTTGGATACAATCGTCTGCGCCATTCGCTGTTGCCAAAGAGCAAAGGCCCACAACCACTGAGAACACTTGTGATGAAAAACTCTATTAAATTGAGCTTGCAAGTAGAAGACGGCAGATACAAACTCTTCCCTGAGGGCGCTCCACATGATAGTACGCACTGTCAAGCACTCTTCAAATATGGCGGAATCATGCTGGGTCCAGAGAGAACTGATTAGTCATCACGTTAGTGATCTGAGGATATTCTGGTCTGAGGATATTCTAGTCTGTTTCCAATCTAATTATTATTGTCTGGTTATTCGAAAAGCTTTGGATACAATCGTCTGCGCCATTCGCTGTTGCCAAAGAGCAAAGGCCCACAACCACTGAGAACACTTGTGATGAAAAACTCTATTAAATTGAGCTTGCAAGTAGAAGACGGCAGATACAAACTCTTCCCTGAGGGCGCTCCACATGATAGTACGCACTGTCAAGCACTCTTCAAATATGGCGGAATCATGCTGGGTCCAGAGAGAACTGATTAGTCATCACGTTAGTGATCTGAGGATATTCTGGTCTGAGGATATTCTAGTCTGTTTCCAATCTAATTATTATTGTCTGGTTATTCGAAAAGCTTTGGATACAATCGTCTGCGCCATTCGCTGTTGCCAAAGAGCAAAGGCCCACAACCACTGAGAACACTTGTGATGAAAAACTCTATTAAATTGAGCTTGCAAGTAGAAGACGGCAGATACAAACTCTTCCCTGAGGGCGCTCCACATGATAGTACGCACTGTCAAGCACTCTTCAAATATGGCGGAATCATGCTGGGTCCAGAGAGAACTGATTAGTCATCACGTTAGTGATCTGAGGATATTCTGGTCTGAGGATATTCTAGTCTGTTTCCAATCTAATTATTATTGTCTGGTTATTCGAAAAGCTTTGGATACAATCGTCTGCGCCATTCGCTGTTGCCAAAGAGCAAAGGCCCACAACCACTGAGAACACTTGTGATGAAAAACTCTATTAAATTGAGCTTGCAAGTAGAAGACGGCAGATACAAACTCTTCCCTGAGGGCGCTCCACATGATAGTACGCACTGTCAAGCACTCTTCAAATATGGCGGAATCATGCTGGGTCCAGAGAGAACTGATTAGTCATCACGTTAGTGATCTGAGGAAATTTTGGTCTGTCTACGATTTAATTGTTATTGCCTGGTTATCCGAAAAGCTCTGCATGCAATTTATTATTGCCCCTAGACAATCATGTTTTCAATGCCGCAGTAATCCGGTAATAACCTTCTTGTACAGAGCCCACTTTGGTAAGCCGCTCCACTGACTATAATGCCAAACAAGCCGCAGTTTGAACGGTTCCTGGATGCAAATCCTTTAAATGGAATCGATATTCTTCACAAACCGCGCTCTACGCTCTCTACAAAGAGATAGGAAGACCTATCTTATTCTAGGCTTCTATGTATGCTAGCCGGAACGATGCATAGATACTTTCAGAGCCAAGCAGAACAATTTGCAGCGGACGGCCGCTATAATCATTGAAATTCTCTTTCATCTGCTCACGTCAGACCTGTTTAATAAAATTCATGCCACATCCAACGGCATAAGACTAAAGCAATTCTCCGAGTAAGTGGATTAGTAAAGATCCCAACGGCTCAGAACTCTATGACTGGTTGGTCTGCGTAGTTCATTCATTAGCCAACCTACCACTCTCTTCAATGCAATCATACAGCGAATGTAACCATAAGCCGCAGAGAAACTGCAGACATACTCACGACGTTATGTGAAATGTAACTTATTTTGAGTTTTGGGCACACAGACCTCCAAGAGAATTGTGAGGCCAACGAGTTATCCCGAAGAGGAATAGTCCTCACTGCTATTAACACTGTAAACGAGTGGTAGGCATATCTCTCTTTAAGATCCGTCTTCACAAACAATGTCAATATCAAATGACGCGAAGAAACCACATCCAATCTAACCACACAGATCTCGGCATTTAGAAAAAAAGAAGAGAAAAAGTATTTACTCCTTCTAAGCAAGATCTCCATTAGCATAACAACTGCCGTAATAACTGTCTAAAGCGGACTTATGGTTCTCCAATAACTTCTGTCACAGCTGCATATATATGGTCAAGTATGACTACTCAGCTCTCTGTACGACCATCAAACAAGTTCAGCTAATGGCAACCATCTCGGTGGTTTTATGAAACTCACGCATTTATAATGATGCCAGCATGCCTAGGTGTGTTTGATCAGAGTTCCGGAATCAAGCAACCGAAACAACTAAGTAACCACAACCTCTCGGGAACAACAGGAAGGGAGTACTAGTCTATGTCGTTTGCACACAGCAACATAGACAAGAACCATTAAGAGAGCTACTCACTGATAGTCCGTCGACATCTTCTTGAATTCTCTTCCTGTGAATAATGTTCTAGGAACACCAGCATCCCCATTTATAGGCGAAGAGTTCGCCCAGCTTCGAGAGACCAGAATAAAACTGGCACAATTAAGTTCTGGACTACAATAGTCGAGTTAATTCCTACCTATCCAGGCTTCATTCCGACATATCCAACGTATGTGCTGTAGGCATAGAGACCACCAAAACGATGGTAAACACCTCTTTACATGCACTTTAAAATCAACTCATCTAACATCACTTTCACTCTGGTCTGAAACCAACCGCTTCCTGTACTCCCCGGTAGATGATCTCGTTGACTTAGACTCGATATCGATCGTGTTACCATTCGGGGTGGGCGAACCACTGCAAAAACTATCCAACTAACTAAGAGGGTGGCGAAATATTCCTTGACGGCTGTATCTGCTATTCATTCAAGTTTTCTACCTTCTCATCTAGAAAGCAATTACATGTGGTGACATCAGTTGACGGTCTAGATATAATTTCTATTTACAATTTAACACCTCAGTCGAGGGCTTGCACAGAAAGTTTATCTAAAGCGGAACGACAGTTTATTTGCTTTCATTTCCCGCAGACTTTTCGAGATTAATACAGTGCCCTACAAACCTACACTGGCAGCTACATTGGCTCCAAAACACCACTACAAAAAAAGCGCACAAAAGCTCTGTACGGAGAAAAGCTGCCTAACATACAAGCTCCAACAGTGATGCACAAGAACCGAATCAGACACACAGGCACAACAAGAATAACCGCAAAGCGACAAAGTGGGGAGTAAACGAGCTAACTTTGGCTCCAAAATGTTTCAATCTCTCATAAAAATAAAGACGAGGAAGACTATGTGTACAGCTGGAATATATATGTATGTATGTATGAATGCACGTAGAGTAGGATGACAATATGGTGTGCAATTCGAGTTAAAGCTACAAGAAAATAAATAAACTGGAAAGCCAACAGCAACGTATGGTAAGAGATAAGTGAGTAAGTTAATATACATATATATATTTGTATGTATATATCTCATTATATGTATGTTTGGTGGTAGCGTTATGAAGACTATTGGAGCGAAACAAAACGCCAACCGAGTATGGCGCTGTCAGATGAGCAGTTGCACGGAAGTACACATACAACATACATACATCACATCTGTGTATACAAAGCTATGTTTGTATGTATGTATATTCATACATTTTCAAAGCTTACCAGTATTGCATTGTGGGTGATTGGAAGTCGCGCACACAGCGCGCTAATTTGGCTTGAACACACTTAACAACTACTCACATGGAAAGCAAAACTCTCGTCAGCCTTTATGTACGCGTGTGTATGTATGTATGTAGGTGCGCATACATTTCATATTCATTGGAATGTTAAGCTGCTCTACGCGTACTCATGGGTACAATATGACTTAGCTTGACTAGTTGTAGGTAAATACTTGCAGCTCAGTTCCAATTCTCACGCTCGCCCAGCCGATTGGTTGTACGGTTAAAGAAGACGAAAAACGAAAATTTGAAGAAAAAGAAGAAGAAAAGAAATTTTTAGACAGCATTTACATATGTAGAACGTTGAGGCGCGTTTGTGAAAGATTTTTCAAAGGTATTGCAAGTGGCAGTGAATTAAGATATAAAATAAATACATACAAACAAAATAAAATATACTTAGATAATCAAAAGGTGAAAAAGAAAGCAAAAAATGTAAAAAATATTTTTTTGCAAAAAAAAATTCTAAATTATAAAAAAAATTTATATGCAAATATAATAGTTTCGGTTTGTTGTTGCAAAAAAAAAACATGTAAAAGAAATGCTAAGAAGGAAAATCTGTGTGTAAATGTGTGCGGTTTGCATGTGAGCGAATTTGCGTTTACCACGTTTGCCAAAATCGAAGTGCTAATTTGGTTACAAACCTATGCACATATGTATGAATGTATGTATGTATACATATGTATACATAATTATGTAGAAATATACAATACATGGTTAAGTGTTACGTACACAGATAACGAATTGGTACATAAAAGAGATTAAAAATGTGCATAACTCGAAAGCTTTTCAATTTTCTTTATTGAAAATTCAAAAAATAGTTTAATAATAAGTGTAGTTAAGAATTTAGTGCAAAATTATATTGATTTATTTTTTTAATTTTTTTTAATTTTTTTTTTTAAATTTAAAAAAAAAATTTTTTTTTTTAATTTTTTAAATCGAAATAATAATGCATAAATTATTAAAGACGCACTCCACCGGCAATCATTCACCTTCAAAAGGTTGGTGCATCATCATCATGAACACTTTTCGTTTCAAAATATAAATAACCCATAGAACTATTATTGTCCGGCGGCCACAGTAGCCGAGTGGTTAGCCTTGCGTACTTACATATGGATTCGAGGTTGGATTGGTTTTTTTATAAGAAGTTTTTTTTCATGTCTCAAATACGAGCGCAATTAGAAAAATTAATTTTCTATCATTTTGAAAGTTGATCGGTCAAGAATCCGAATCCCCTTGTATTGTATTTCACACTCTATAACCACCGAAGCGATTTTCGCCGAGTTCCTGCTTTAATTTGTGTTGTGCGCGCTGTAGTTTTCCCAACAAGTGAGCATTTTCTGCCGCAGCCGGCTCCGAATGGCAGATAAGGTTTCATCTGAAGCCTTTATATCATGTTCTTGCATTTTCCGCCGCAGCCCCCTCGAAAGGCTGACACGAAATACATCTGCTGGGGTTCTATAATACATGCAACACCTCTTTTTATAGCTAGAAAAAGGATAATTTTTCTTGAATTTCCAATGTCGTTCCGAGCGTGATTCGAACCCAAGGTCCTTCACATGTATCTTTATACAGTTGAAGCGATTTTCAGTGGAGCTTGTCTGGAGATCCCCCATAAAATGGAAACCTAAGGTTTTAAGTCGCCTCCAAACAGCTTGTCTGGAGATAGCCCTTCAAATGGAGAACCTAAGGTTTTAAGTCGCCTCCAAACGGCTCAGTGATACTTATAAGAAGCTTTAAATTTTACATCAGAACACTTAGAGGTTCGCCAAGGTCGGTTGGCGGCATTTAGAAGAAAATTTTTCTATAATTCTTAGAAGGACGCAAACCCATGTTCCACTGCATAAATACGTTCACTACCACCTACTCGGTTACTGTGATCATCGAAATTGTGAAAACAGCAGTGCTTCGCAGAAATTACCGAATTTTCTTCCGATTTACTTGTCAAAATAAAAACAAGAAAAACAAATTGTACATCTTCATTGCCAAAACAAGTCCAAACGCGCTCGGCCACTGACTTTACATACATCAATATTCGCTTTTCGTTAATTTTTTGTTTAGTTGGATGCTTCGTTCGTTGTCGTTGTCTATTCCAGTATTCTCTTTTAGCCTTTTCTTTTCCTCTTTTTTCAATTTTTTTATTTTTTCTTATTTGATTTTTATTTTTGTTTTCGGTGTCATCGTTGTTATTGTCTTCTTTGATGGCTATGTACAATACATGCATACATATGTGAATATATATACATATCTACCTGTGCCGTGTATTCCGAGTTCCATTGTATATACATACATGTATGTATATTCATTAAGCCGTTTGGTGTGTGAAGCCGATGGTCGTTACTCGTTCGTCTCTCTCTTCTATGCCACTTGCAGTTGACGTAATGCAGGTTTAGCTAGAAGCTGACATAGATAAAAAGAAGACGAAAAAATACGGAAAAATAGTAAAAATCGTTAAAAGCAATAAATAAACAAATGGAATTAATCATGTGTAACAATTATACAAGTATTCACGTAACAAAATGGTATAAAGTGTAAAATACAAAAAAAAATCACAAGAAAAAAACAACGAAAACTGATTTTATTATAATTTTAAATAAGCTCATAGAAAAACTGAGTGCCTTGGGTTGCAAAACAAAATTTGGGTTGCCCTTTGAACTCCAGTGAAATCGGTGTCGCGTCGCAATGGAGCTTCTGCCTCTGTCTCAATGCGCTGGTTTGTTCGTTCCAAAACCAAAAAGCTGTGTAAAATCTTATCCGTAATTATTATAATTTGTGGACTCTATCTCTTTACTTTATCGCTTCCCTTGTCTGAATGCGAGACGGTTGAGGCACATACGTTCATTCTTTCGTGAGCAAAGCCATATCCCAACTCGTATTTGAGTTAGGTTGCGCGTTATTATTGTTGTAGCGGTTCGCTAACCCCGCGCTAACCCTGCATTACGGCAGAGGTTTGATCCGTCTAAGTCGCCGAGGTCATCTAATGGTAGGTCCAGGAAACGAGCTGTTTCGACGAGGTTGGACCAGAGGGAGAGAGGGGTTAGATGATTTGGTTTGAGAGGGCATGTGAAGGGGTGGTTAGTTTCGTGCGGAGACTCTCCACATACAGGGCATACGTTGGGTATGCTGGGGTCTAGTCTGGATAAGTAGGAGTTTAACCTGCTACAATATCCAGACCTAAGTTGTGTCAGGGTCACGTGGGTCTCGCGAGGCAGCTCGAGCTCGTTGTCTGCTATAGGTGGTGGTTTTTCTCCGAGTACGCCCTGCGGTAGCATCCCAATAGGAACGACTCTCACGACAGCAGGTTCTACGCACCGGAGTTGACCCGGATTTTATTCGGCCAAGAGCTGTCACCCTTTCGGCGACCTAAGCCCGTTTAGGTCAAAAGCTTAGGTTGTGTAATGGCAATCTCTGACCGAGCTTATCCGGTTCGTTTTGATCTGAATTTAAGTATTTTTCTTGTCTCAGATGTGAAGTAATGGCGGCCGCGGTAGCCGAGTAGTTAGCATTGCGTACTGCCATTCGGAAGGCTCGGGTTCAAATCCTGGTGCCACCAACATCCAAAAGTCATAGAAGATTCCTCCATTTCTTGGAAAAACATCAAGATGCAAACCCACAAATTGAAAGAAGAGCTCGGCCCAAAATCACAACAATGGCTAATTTCCTTTTTATTTAGACCAGCAAAATCCGCAGCTCATTTTTCCCCAGAGAACGGATAGCTATGAACATCGAAGTTACTGACGTAAACGTTCGGATTTTCGATAACCCGAAATTACTGGGAAGTAGTCGGCTAGCGAAAACGCAAATGAAGAAATGACAATCCGGCCGAAAAACCATGTTTAGGGTTGGTAAACTTGCTGTTGCACTGTGCGATTTTCCATTCACAAATATTCCCCTCAACTCACTGCCCTTATGTGTAGACTTGGGAATCACCTACAGCAGACAAAGGGCCAGAACTGCTTCGTAAGTCCCGCAAAATCTCTACATACCACCCTTTACTACCAGACATATCGTTCGCTTCCTTATCAAGTTAAGGGAAAGTGGAACTCACGATGGGGTTGTTGAGGTCAATGATTCCAATATCATTGGCCAGGAGTTGTGCACTCTTATAGAAGACTGTACTTGCTCTTTTCAGCTCTGGAGCTTGTATTATTTTCCCAATCAATAGTTTAAAGAAATCACACTATTAGGAGTCTCTTTGTCTCACTTTTGGTGTTGCTAAACGACAGTTTATTCAGTCTTTACTTAGCCATGTTTATATTGACATTTTTATTAGAGTTGCATTCTACGTGGCGGCACCCAAACCCAGCGCTTAACTTCAGCACACGAGTAGGCTAATATTTTACAAAGAGTAATATAGCGAACCGCTGGCTTCAAGATCGACTCCCGCTTGCAGCCGCACTTTCGTGGTGAATAAACGCTGCATTTGGACTTCAGCGAACCCTTAAGCCGAACAAATCGAAGGGCCTCCACTGAAGCTTACTCTCTTTTAGCCGTGACCCAAAGCTCCACTTGGGTTGGTTGCCGTTTCTTGTATAAGGATGCTCTCGTAGTCACAGTATAACACCGCGACTGTAACTTCATACTTAGAAGCTTGACTACACGCCATTATACCCCATCGCTTAAGCATAGGGCTAAATAATACTTTCCCATCTAACCACATTGAGATTCTCATGAATCTTATTAGATCACGAGGTGTGACAATTAAATAATGAGGCTGATTCCATAATAACCGTATGTTTCAAAATTATTCTACAACTCGGCCATCCCCTTCAAAGTAGTCCCCTTCGGCAGCTATACACGAACCCAGCGCGCTTCGATTGGGATGTCCGCGAGTACCCTCGTCACGGCTACCTGGATGTCTTCAATCGACTCCGAATGGATTCCTTTGGCCACCGATTTTGTTCTAGGGAACCAAAAAAAATATAAAGGGTGACATATCGGGCGAATAAGGCGGTTATTGCAACACGGCGATCCCTTTAGAGGCCAAATACTAGGACACGCTGAGGGCGGTAGGCACGACGCGTCATCGTGATGAAAGATCCAGTTGCGAGCGATGCCTGGCCGCACCCTGTTGACTCGTTTTCGCAATCATTGGAGTACTTTACGATAGTACTCTTCATTTATGGTTTGCCGCGATGGAAGAAACTCTTTGTGGACGATTCCACGGCTATCAACTGGTCTCCCGCTCCACACTTCGTCTTCCACGCTTTCACGACCCTCCTTAAACTCTTTATGTCATCGAAACACCTGGGTACGACTGAGAACCATAATATTTTACAATTTTAGCGTACGTTTTCGAAGCTGTTTCGCCCAATTCGGCGCAAAATTCTATCGCGACACGTTGCTCTTGATTGCGTTTCTCCATTTTCGTGACGAGCACCACGAACACAGGTTTACTCAACACGAAAGTCGCATTACTTAATTGTCACGCCTCGTATAACTCTCATATTGGCCATCTTGGCTAGACGATCCAGCAAGATGATGCCAAAATTTCGAAATCTTTCACTGCCCAAAGCAAGGCAGACACATAAAAGATGAATGATCGTTTCCTCCAACTAATCATTCTTGCAGCTCCTGTGGCATCTCCATTCTCTCTGCCTGCCGTCCTATCAAATAGTGACCAGATAAATTTCTTGATACCTTGGACATGTCTCTTTTCTACTAAGAAAGCATTTCTCGTGATCTCTTTCTGTGCCATTTAAGTCAAATATATTTAAATTTGCGCAAATGACAGTTTTTTCCTACCTTAAGGTAGTCTATTCGCAGACGAACTCCTTAGGACGCAACTTACACGTGGTAAAAGGCATACAAATCCATTCTTTAATGAGAAGAGTCTGCTCATTTGGTGCCTTGCCTGGTACTTTACAGCTTTCCTCGATGTTTCCATGATCACAAATTGCTATGAGAGATAGTCTGTTCTCGCTACCTTAAGTGCTAGAATTCGTATCGTATCTGCCATCTCTTTTCCCATAAATATATTTACTCTAGTTTGTAGAGTTCTTCACAACGTCAGCCCACCCATATTTACATATAAGCGAGCACTTAAATACTAACCTCGTTTAAGTGCATAGCGTAAGTAGCTACTTATTGTAAAAGCCAACACAAAACTAACAAAAACAAAAAACAACTTAAAACAACAAAGCAAAATAAAGAGCGGCAAAAAAGACTCTGGTTGAAGCACAAAGAGCAGGTGGTAAGAAACCGCAGTCATGAAATTTCGCCTTTAAAATACAAAACCAGCAAATAACCGCAAATGTTACATAGAAACATACATACATACAAATATTAGTATTTAAATAGCAATACAAATAGATAAATAATTAAATACTGGCAAATCTATAAATAAATTAATATTATTATTTTATTAATCACATTTCAATAGCATTGACTAGCTAATGACGCTTTTAGTAGAAAAACACCCACCAAGTAGTAGCCGCCGCAGAAAACCCACAGTTACTATTTTCTAAAAGAAATACCAAAGAAATTGAAAAATAAACACTTGAAAAAAATAAAGTAAAATTATAAAAAAAAAGTATTGAAAAAAAAAATTAAAACCAACTTACACATACACACAACTGTTCGGAGACTGCAGAAATCGATAAAAGCGTTGAAATAAAAATAGACAAGCTTTTAAGCGGATTTTATCAACTTTAGCTAAAATTCATCGCCACGCAGACATTTAAATAATTGTACGTATAAGAGTAAGTACCTCTTTTTTTTATTAATAATTCTTCATTCTTCTATGAAAAACAAAAGTACAAGTCAAGTAAAAAGTTCGTTCGGTTTTTATTGATTTTTCAAAATATGATAACTTCGTGTACATTTGTCCGATTTAAGTCAAATATGCGCCGTTTCGTTCGTAAACTTGTTGCCAACGAGATGCCAACTTCACTATATCCCTCTCGTAGAAGCCTGCGTTCCTATTGACAAAAAACTCAGAGAGCTAGTTTTCACAGGCCACTCTTGATGCCAACTTCTCACCATTAAGCGCGTTTGCCGTGGACAGAAAAAGATGGTAATCACTTGGTTCCAGGTCCCGACTATTAGGTGGGTGCATTAGGATCTCCCGTCCGAGCTCCTGGAGCTTCTGGTGCGTCACCAAAGAAGCGTGTGGCCTGGCATTGTCCTGATAGAACACAATCCGGCCTCTGTTGATCAGAGATGGCTTCTTCTGGATGAGCGCTGCCTTCAAACGGTCCATATGTTGGCAGTAGAGGGCTGAGTTGAGCGTTTGGTCAAAGATAAACTTTTAGTGCGAATAAATACGTTCTCAGCGCCATATAGTATGACATGAGGCGACACGTAACGCTAGTACCATGGACAATAACGCCATGTCTTAGATAAAAACCGAATGAACTTCTTACTTGACCTAATTTATACACATACATGCATATAAATTGCGTCGCCTGGCACGACCAACATCCAAAACTTATAGAAAATTAATTTAAATTAAAAATTAAGGGAATGCCAACACTCTACCAATCCAACCGTAAGTCAATTGCTTGTTTTATGGCATGCCATAATCGCTAACCTATCACAGACATGCTCGCTTCCACAAGAAGTGTAGAAGTTTATTTGAAGCAATATTCGGTTTTCTAGGTTCATAAATTATAATTAAGGAGAATCCCATTGGAGGCACCGCAAGGTGGCATCTGTAAAAGGTCGAGTCAAAAGTAATCCATTATTTTTGCATCAAATTTAATGCTGTGCGAAAATCAATTTTCATTGCCTTCAAGATTTCTTCACCAGCCAAATTATACGAAATTATTCGTCACAGACAGGAAACTGATGGTTATCGCTTGATGTGACGTCCGGCGTATTAGATGTATGCTTAAGAACCTGCCAAATAAACTCTAATAGCTTTTAGCGAATAACTATCGATGTCTGTGGTCTGGCAATGTTCTTATAAAGCACAATTCCCCTTCTGTTGATCAATGCTGGGCTCTTCAAGGCAATATCTTTCATCAGAAGAATTAATTGCTGATAGTAAAGGTCGTGGAGAAGCAGTTCATAGTAGATGATTTCTTACCAGTCCCACTAAATACAAATAAAACCTTTCTGGCCCTCAATCGTTGCTTGGAGACTGTTTGTGCTGACTCAATACTCTTCCACTATGGTCGTTTTCATTTGTCGTTGCATTAACTGATCCAGTTATAATCTCCATTCTCCACCCACTTCAGAAATGCGTCGATTTTTTGATGATTCAGTAGCCATTCTTAAATAGAAATTCGGCCCTTGAAGGTTTTTCTAGTTTTAGTGAAGAGGAATGAGAGTCGAAATTCGCTGACTGTTTGAGTGATGACAGGAAAGGCATTTCGCCTTACCCTGGTTCACTATCAAGCACATACGCTTTGCTTCCTTATCCATTCTTGAGAAACCAGAACCTTAAAGGTTGATGAAAGTACAACAACGTCGTATAAGAATGGCTAAAACTCTAATGAAGTACTGTATTGACGTTCCAGCGTGGGTAATAACATCCAGCTATCCTTGACTTGCGCCATAAGCACGCAGATAACTATCAGATTATTTCTGCATGGTCAGTGTTAGGAATTGGATTCGTTTCCAAGATCTAACCCGAATATGATTAGAAGATCCGCCTATGAGTAGGAACCATCTATTTGCAGGGTTTTCTTAAAGCGACGTACGAGACAATCGCAAAATTGTTTACTACTCTTTTTGTACATTACTAGTAGTTTTTAGATAATATTTTTTTCCAAAAAAATACCCAAATTCAAAATAGAACAAGTCTTTAGGGATTAGCGTGCTAGCGTACTAGTTTTCAACTAATTCATCAGCAGTATATTTGATGGAAAAGTCCACCAACACTTTTGTAAGCATTTGACAAATTAAGGCAATTAAGATATAATAAAAGCCAATAGCATTCTATATATTTATATACATATATAGGTAGGTAAATTTTTTAGGTGCTCATATGATTGGCACTTATTTCTAATCGCTTTGCTATATCCAATTGCTCCACTCGATTTACGTAATTAGCGCATAGTTGCTTTGCATACAAAACATATCTCACGTTAATCGCTTTAATCGCACTAATCGAGGCACATATATATGTGCAATATCGAAATTAACTACAACACGTGTTATTGGTCCAAAAATCGAAGCACTTGCACTTTCAAGCCGTCTTCAAATAGTAATAAACTCTATAGCAAGCGAAATTTTAAAAAAATTACTTTCTCCGAAACTCATTTTTTCCGTGCTTAACTTTCTTGAGTTATATTTTTTATTCTATTTCTTTTATTTTTTTAATTCAAAGTTTGTGATTTAATTTATTTTACTTTTTTTAATATTATTTGATTTTATTTTATTGTACTTCATTTAAATTTATTTTATTATATTTTTGGTTGAATTTTTTAATTAATAATAAATATATTAAAAAATAAATAGGTAATTACTTTTTTCTTTTCTTTATTTTTATTTTACTTTTTTACTTCACCTTATTTTTTATTTAACCTTATTTAATTTCATTTTATTTTTATTTTTTTACTTTTTGAGCTTAGTTTATTTTATTTCTTTTAATTTTATTCATTTGGATTTATTTTGTTGTTTTTAATTTTATTTCAATTTATTTTACCTCATTTTGTTTATTTTATTAATTTGTTTTATATTGTTTTTTTTATTTTACTTTATTTTATTTTATTTTATTTTATTTTATTTTATTTTATTTTATTTTATTTCATTTAATTTATTTTGTTTTAATGAATTTATTTCTTTTTTCTTTTTTTATATTCTATTTATTTATTTATTTTTTTTTTTTTTATATTATCTAGTTTAATTTTTTATTTATTATATATGTAATTATGTTGCAATGTATTTCACAATGAAAACATATTGAGGAGAAATTTCACAAGCATATTTCTATCTTACGTTAAAATTTGCCCTCTTAACATACTTTGAATAGCACTCCTTTGTCGCAAGAAAAGACAATACGAATGTATTCTTGTTCCATTTTCTATGCCATTGTATGTAGGGTAAATTTGTTTATATGAGTATTCATATTGCATGATACTCATATAAACAAATAAACTTACAAAATTCAAAATAAAAGGAGCATTATCGCCCTTAGAATACATATTTGCAGTTTTGGGTTGTTTTTCATACATACACGTATAAAGCGATTCAAAGGCTCAGTTTAAAAAGAATAAAAATTAGTAGAATTTTAATTATTTCTGTTTTGCTTTTTTTGAAATTAACAAATTAGCCATTTAATTAATCTTCTAAGGAAAGTGTTATTTAGTAATGATTTATCTATCAGTTTCCCTGATTTCTCATAAATACACCACGTCGTATACGTAACATAACTAGTAATTTACGAATTTAGTGGTGATAATTATTTTCAGTACTAGAAATCGCCTACTGAGCGATATTTTAGGGTAACGCCTTGATTTTTAGTATGCTTGTATGTAGATTTGCATATATTGTATTTGAAGTGCAATTGTTTAACGAGGGAAAAATGGTTTCCCATGGCGTCAATGCTAACTACTAACAAGAAAGTAATTTAGCAAACGCGCAGCGTGCAGTAAACAAATTTGTAAATCGTGTTATGACAATATAGTGGCGTACTCGTAAATAAAATATTTTAATGTTTTTTTTCGTTTTAAACAAATTTTGAAAACAATTGCACAGAGCAAAATGAATCCTACCGTAACTGATATCTTCCAGTAAGATTTAATTTTATTAAAACATTTCTGAAGGTCGATAAATGGCTATTAGGGTGATTATATATATAGAATATATCACCTTACTATGAGTGTATATATTTAATACGTTTCTATGTATATATAGTACTTTTGTCATTATTAAATTACCCAAAATTCTAGTCCTCATAATGCTATTCATTAGCGACAATCATATTTATTGCTTCACAGTTTATTAAATGCAAATTTCATATCTGTACATATATATGAACGTATGTGTATTTCTTTCATGAGCAAAATGTTAAATGCTTTATTGGAGCAGAGACAATGAAGCAAAATTAATAGTTTTTCGTTCCATCATTAACTTAACTAGTTTAATTGCTTTTAACTAACTAACTGTTACTTGTAATACATATATTTATAATGATGAACAACTGCTTGTACTCAAAACAAAAAAAAAAATAAATAGAAAAGATAAATAAATCATTTCCCATTACTGCACGGTGTTGTTCCATTTTTTAGTCATGAGATTAGCTTCTCAGCAGCTGCATCCAAGAACCGCTTGTTCTTGCGTAGTACAGTTTGCCTCACTCGGGAGCATTACTAAAACGAGCCCCTATCAGGCTTTCCCGGTGCCTCTCGTTCTGTGTGCCATAGTCTGCACTTAAAAATGTATGACAGCGTGACCAGAGTCTTACATCTTTAAATAACCTGATCGTTTATACCGTACCGATGCTACCCGATATATATTGGTTATAATATGTAATGTGCCCACCCATATTTCCGCTCCAAAAGGAAGAACACTAATAGTAGTGTACATCAGTAATTTTCTTTTCTCTTTTAGTAGTTCTCATATGACGGGCATCAGACTGCTTAGTTATCTTTGAGGCCTTAAAGGCATTTCGGACATCTAACGTGGCTAATAGAACCATTTTCTTATATTTTTATCATCCTCGTTAAACTAGTTTCACGCTCCTCAATTGCTCTAATTTCGATTTTCTAGGTCTAAATCCATATTGCCTTCTTGAGAGACCACCGGTTTTCTA